TGCGATGGAGTGGGAATGAGGATGCTTTGATGCTGCACACGAAATCCAACTAATGCTAAGTTTGCTTTCACGTGGATTTCATTTTGGATTCCCATTCACAAAAGGAAAACCTATTACAATACACTGTAGTGTGCAAAGGTCAGAGACCACACTTCATTTATATCATTTCCAATTCATTTTTCAGTAGATTTCTGAGGAGGTTAGATATAAAATAATCCACTTAGATAAAGAAGAGCAAGTCAAAGGAAAATAAGTGAAAAACAGGAATTTAACATATTAAAGATACAGAGAAATTGGGCCTCCTAACAACCACCTGGAAGACCTGGTAGACACCCAAACTGTCAGATAAACAGCACTTAAAGGACTGAGGAAATAGACAAAAAAGAAAAAAATGCTTCTGTATAACTTGAAATTACTGAAAATTACACGAAGGAAGGGTGGTCTCTGACTTTTGCACAGTAATATATCACTGCTGTCGGAAGAAAACCACATTTTCATTTTTGTCGTTTTTCAGTTTTTAACGTAATTTGAAAATGCCGGTTGCCCTTTATATTGTGCATAAATTTCATGAAAAATGGACCAAAAGAAACGAAATTATTTGGAAACAAGTCTGGTTCCATTGATTTACATTAAAAATAAAGTAGGTTTTTTCCTTCTCCTGTAAAGTTACCATTTTGGAGATACAGGGTTTTCTTCTGACAACAGCGATATACTACAATGTATTCTTTGTTCACAATATACTGAAAACATATAGCCTATTTAATGTTCACTTCACATGGCAGCAAAAAAGCTTTTAAGAGGAGAGTTTCTAAGACAGGGTTCTTCAATTTCCGGTCTTGCCGGTGTCCAGTACAGTTTGGTGAATTCCCTGCTCAAGTTTACCCATTAAACCAGGCAATTAACAGACGTGCAGAACCAGGTGAAGGGTTGAAACCATCAAACTTTGCTGGATTCTGGTGTTAGACCACAACAGATTACAAGAGTTTAAATCGGTGTACCATATGCTGAGAGAGTGAGGGAGAGCGAGAGATGCAAATAGGCCTCTTTAAACCACGTCGATAATTAATTGCGCGCATTTGTTTCTATTAAATAAAAATAACGCGTGCTGAGGAACTCAATTAGCGCTAATTATGCCTGATATCCTCATTTGAACATTGCGTAATAGAAGCATGGCGCATTGGCATTTACTCAGTATTTTTTTTTCTTTAAAACAAAAACGGTGGCCATTGCGGCTTCGGGGGGGAGTGGAGGATGGATGGATGGGTGCGCGTGTGTGTATGTGTGCAATCCCTCTCGGGAGAGAGAGGGGAAATTACATACGGACGGGGAAAGAGGGCTACAGGAGGTGCTAAATTAGCAGCCTGATCCGCACTTATTGGCGCATGCACTTCCCCCATTAGCCAGCTTCGACAGGCCTCCCCACAACCCAACACCCCCCGACCCCCCACTTTCCTTTCCCACTTTCCCAGCAACCTAAGCATGGCCGCTCCATGTGTTTCTCTTGCGCACGAATGAATGCGGCAAACGATCCAAAGTGGACATTTCTCTTCTGGTTTTGTAGACCGAATAGGATTCATAAGGTGGGCTTGTTATTTTATGTTGGTTACTGGATATGGGGTACGTCAGTGTGTGCATATGCACAGATATCCCAACAGGAAGTGAGCGCATACCCGGAAGATCTATACAGAGGCCTCCTAAACGTCCACAAATGAACACTCTTTTTTATTGTTCTAAATTAGTGAGAGCAAATAAGATCACAGTTCTGACAGTATTAGGTTCTACATCCAGATGCAAATGTGTCCTGCACCACTGGAACATTTTAATAATGCCTGATTCATAAAGCTACACTTTTAAAAAACAAAATTTGGAGTAATGCCATAGAAAAAGCACTTTTGGTTTCCCAAAGAACATTTCATTTAACAGTTCCTAAAAAAGTTATGTTTGCAAACTAACCCCTTAAAGAGCCAGGGCCCATCTGCAGGCCAAAAGTTTTATTACATACTTCTATAACATAAGAATAGCTCAGCCAGTTTGCATTGACATCCCTGTAGTTACTGAATAATAAGCTTTAGTATGTAATAAGCCTGGGATTTTAGGAGTTAAATGTGCTTGAAGAATGTTATATTGCAAAGAATCAAGGAATCAATCCTGGTCCTGGAGGTCTACCACCTTGGAGAGATCAGATCCAACACATCTGGTTCTAACATTCAGATGCACCTGAAAGGCCTTCATTACCTGGATCAGGCATTTTAGATTAGGGGTGGAGCCAAACAATGCAGGGTGGTAGATCTCCAGGACCAGGATTGGACACCCCTGATCTACATAAAGTAAAGATTCTATAGCAGTTTTAAAAATGGGTAACACTTTCTTAAAATACCACGCTATGGTATTTTGTAATGGCATTATAATGTCTTATAAACATGTCTAGAAAGTGTTACCAAATATTTGAACTGTCTGTCCAAATCAAGAACCATTTAGAACCCTTTATTTTCAAGTGAGATTTTAAATGAGTCTAATGCATTGTATCGTATCGTTAGTTTTTTCGCTATTAGGCCGAAAAAGGTGCCCTACAACATCTTAATAAATGGCCACTTTCTATTGCTAGTCATACAGTTTCAGCCTTCATTTGGGCTGAACCTCATTTTGTGTCTTTTCTCCTCCAGTCTCTCTCAAAGGAGTCAGAACATAGAGACCTTCCACACTACCTGAACCGGAAGTTCCTTTTCATGTTCTCCTGCACGGCAAATGATGAGAGATTACACAATTTTCCTGCTATTGGTAGATTTTACAAGTAGTCCTTGCAAAGATAATAATGACCTTTCTGTTTCCTAATTCAGACAATATAGTTATGTCTGGTGTTGGACCTCTTCTAGATTTTGTCTTTCCAATACCCCTAGCTCTCTCCTTCCTTCCCTCCCTCCCTCCCTCCCTCTCTCTCTCTAATTATTTTACCCCGTAATCCCACTCTCATGCAGTGCAAACAGCACTAGCCCGGATGGAGAAATTATGTAAATATTATTTAAGCGGGCTCGCTATCTGGGATTCATGAGGTAAGGCTCGAGACCCTCCGTTTATTTTCAATTTATTTGCAAATAAAGGGGCTACGATGACCAGAGGGGATGGGGGATGTGTTTGATGGGGTAGGGGGGGAATAGGGGATGAGGGGGGAGTTGGGTTGGGGGAGAGCTGATATCATCATATCAGCCCTCTGGATAGAATTTCGCTCTTGCAAAGTGAGCACGGATCCCCAAAAAGCATGAACGGATTGGAAAATTTCTGGAAATTCTGAAGCTACTGATGTGCCTTAAACGAAACACCGACACTTCACGCCTGCCCGATGCATCTGTAGGCCTCGCTACATGGAGCCGGCTGGGATCCCTCTAGACACAGACATCTCTCTTCCATCACAATCATATTTTTCCATCCACGTCCGCCCCGGCCAGGCTCGCTTAATACTTTCCTGGTGCAGATGTGCCCGCGCGCCCCGCGGGAGCTTTTCCTTCTGGACCCTCGGAGCCACTATTAGAGCAAATTTGACTGTAGGTGTGTATGTGTGGCCATGTATTTAGCTCGTGGTGGGGACCAAAGGCTCCCAGGATGATGGAAAACAAGAACATATTTATCGTTGTGGGGACATTTGGCTGATCCCCAGGATGATTTTTTCTTTTTCTGGTAAAAAAAAGTCATAAGATTTCCTTTTTGGCTAAAGAGGAATGGCCATTTGGAGTGGTTTCTAAAGAAATTTGCCAAGTCAGGATTGTGTACAGTAGTAATGACAGGAACCAGACATCTGAAGTGTTTAATGCCTCTCACAGGAAGTGCTTACATTAAATTGTTACAAATACACTTCCTGAAACCAGAGATATTATTTTGCGATCATTTCGATTTTTAGAGGATTTTGGCCTAAAACCTATTTTTAAAAATCCAGTCATGGCAGAGACGCGCAGGACGCTGTGAGGAAAATAGTCCCAAAAACAATATGTATTTCTTCAGATTTGCCACTATTTAGCCATTATTTAACCAAAAACCCAGACGACACATGTAGGTTCACTGGTAGTTTTGGATAGTAAATAAAAGGGACTATGGACATCACAACCCCTGGTTTCTGTCTTTATGCAGAACATCTGAGTCGGTTAGTCTCCCTACAGAGTACCATTTCACATCAGACCACTCTGAATGACTCCGTTTACATCTCAAAGATCTGATTATGAAATTCCCCCTTAAGGTTAGGGGTGGGTGAGGAGGAACATAACAGTATTTAGCTCCAGTCATTCCAAAGGCAAAGGAAAAGGCGATGGAAAGACTCCACAAAGACAGGAATACACTTGTGTGAGTGTGTGTTAGACACACACACACAGAGAGAGAGAGAGAGAGAGAGAGAGAGAGAGACTGTCCCATTACACGGTGACACATGATCAATAGGCCGATAAGGCGGGAACATCAATGCGCGCGAGAGAACAATGAGGGATATCATCGAGCATCTATCTTAATATTGCCGCCTACACGCGCCCCTGACAGGACCGCCTCATGAAAATTCCGCCCCACGAATCACCCGGGCGTTTCCTCTCTCTCTCTCTCACACACACACACACACACACACACACACACACAGCTGCTGAGGCTATTATTTCCCCATTTCAATCTGACTCGCCAGCCTTTCATGCTAATTCTATTATTGTTGGAAGTTTATGTGATTTCATATCGCTGGAATCGGTAATGTATAATAACCCTTCAGGCTAGAAGAAAAAAAGAAAGAAAGAAAGAAAAAAAAACGCATCGTCCTAGCCGCCACCGGGGAAAATAATTACTTTCATATGAAAAACTCGGCACGAGCTGACCGGGTCCTACCGCCTGCGGCGCGAGACCTCCATTCCCTTTTGAACGGGTGAATGTTGCTGGAGCAATAACGCGCGAGCCTTCCAAAGCGATAAACAAAAGAAAAGAAAAGAGAGGGAGGAGAGTAGCATATCTTTGGCGCCAAAACATATTTTTCCTTGTGTTTCTTTTACAATACTTTTTTTTATTATTTATGAAAACGTTACATATATAAATATCTTTGATACTTCATCGTTTGTACAATGTTTGAGGATTTCACGTTGTTCAACGTCCCGACTGCGTTTTCTGTTCCCCCCTCAGGAAAAAGTCTTGGCCTAGTAGACACAACTAGGCCTGTTCAATCGAGTCAGAACAACGGGAAAAAACTATAATCCACCTGAAGGAAGAATATCCTTTCTCAGAGAGCGAGAGAGAGAGAGAAAAACGATTTTTTTTTTTTTAAAAAAAGGAGTTCAAACAGTCTGGTGTAGAAAAAAGCCGCGTGTTGATTAGCTTTGGGAATGTGAACAGGTCCACCATGTTTCTGTCACTTTCAGTCCATGTCTGCTTCTTCTCCGTTCGCGTTTTCCTGTGTTCTCGAGTCTTTTTCGTCCTGCTGCGTCACATCCGACTCCCCTCCGTCTGAAACCTCTGTCTGTGGTGGTCTAACCTCGGAGGACCCCCCTGTTGTTTCGTTTGAGCTGACTGTGGGAGTTACGTTTTGATTGAAACAGCTTTCCCGCGCTTTCTCCTCAGCGCTGCTCGCGTGATGTTTATGTTTTGGCGCGTTTTCCGGGTCCGAGTGCGTAAAGCTGGTTTGGTTGGAGTTGGAGTCTTCTGCGGAGGACCACCTGTGGCCGGGGTCGCCCGCTTTGGCGGCGGTCTGCGGCACCATAAAGCCCAAAGGCTGGGTGATGGGGTACAGCAGGAAGTGGCCTTTGCCCACCACGGGTCTCTGAGGCGGTGGCGGCTGAGGGAAGTCCAGCGCGGGCCTCCGCCTGGGACTCGAGTCGGCCAGCAGGCTCTCCACGCTGAACGGGCTGAGCTTATGAAAGGCTGAAGGCCGCGTGACGTCGCCGTCCGAGTTCCGCGGGGAGCTCCCCGCTTCTGGTTTCCGAGCTCCCGCCAGCTCGGGGGCGGCGCTGGCTCTTTGGTGGTGGTGGTGCGGGCTGTGGTGAGGGAGCGGGTGAGGAGGGGCCGCGGGGTGCTGAGCCGCTGCCGCCTCGCTGTCGGTGCTCTGCGACACGCCGCTGTCGCTGTCCGAGCCGGGCGTGTGGAGGAGCTCCCCGGCCGAGAGCTTGCTCTGCGAGCGCAGCAGCTTGCGCTCCTGCTTCCGCTTCTTCTTCTCCAGGCGCTGCAGCTCCCGCCGCGCGATCTCCTCGGGGTCCATGGGCTCGCCGCTGCAGGTGGTCGGGTGGGAGTTGTGCGCCGGTCGCCCCGGCCCTTTCTTGGTGTTCTCTTTTTTCCGCCATTTTGCCCGCCGATTCTGAAACCACACCTACGGCCAACAAGGACACCTGGCTTAGTTAATGCCCCCTAACTGAAATACCTCACCTGGACAGATTATGGTCATTTTATAATATCATATCCACAGTACAAACTGAATGATTTTAACATGCTCAGGAAAATTTTACAGAACTTGTTCTGATTGGTTTAAAGCGATGCAATTTTGGATGAGCCCAGGTGAATACATTTTGATTAAACATCATGCACTTTTATTCACCAGGATTGGATTTGCTTCATTGATTTGTTCAAATCTAGCACAAAGAATCAAAGCTCATCTGCTTAGAAAAAAAATCTTTATATTTTTGCTCAGCCAAGTGCATAGAATTTATGCACCAAAGGAAACATTTCTGACTTGGGTTAAAATAGCCTAATATTGACTTAATAATAATGAGGGATCCAGTGTAATTACACTGAATGCAACTTCTTTCAACTTTTTTAGGTTTATAAAATGGCCTACAAAAATGAATGAATAAAAATGAAGAATATTTCACTGCAAAAAGGAAATTTAGAATTTCAGATTAGGGTTAAAATAGCCTAATATCGATTTATTAACAGTAAGGGGTACAGTGCAATTACACTGAATGCAACTTCATGCAACTTTTTTAGGTTAATAAAATGTCTCTCAACAAATAAATAAACATCACATATTTAAAAGAATATTTCACTGCAAAAAAAAAAAATAAATAAATTTAGAATTTCAGATTAGGGTTAAAATTGCCTGATATCCATTTAATAATAATGAGGGTCTAGTGTAATTATGCTGAACGATTATTAATAAACCCTGTTTAAGAAATAACTAGGCCGGGGGACAGTCAAATGACACTGAATAGTACCATGTGGGTATTTTTACTCTATGAATACAAACATATAGTATACTGAATATATATTACAGTCCATCTTCATTCGCACCTTTTTGGCATGCACTCTTAGAAAAAAGGTACTAAAGGTACACTGGGGTTGTACCCCTTATGTCACTGGGGTGGGACTCTCAGGGATTCTTCAGTACCTTTAGTTAGGGATCATGGTTGTATTCCATTGAAATTCTGTTTTCTATTTTAAGTTGTACTGACTCCACACACACTGTCTTGACTCTACCTTTTTATTTGACTGTTCTGTTTTAAAACATTAGGTTATGAAATATGTACAAATATGTACCTTTCCCAATGGGAAAAACATATTTAATGTCCTTAAACTCACTGTTGTACCTTTGTAAATTTGCATTGTTTATGAACAAAAATGGATAAGCACATTTTTTCTGACAGTGTGCTAAAGTGCACATTCTTTAAAAAAGGTTCTTCAGGGGTTCTTTAGTAAAGACAGTGGTTCTATAGAAACATTAACACTCAAACAACCATTTGCACACATAAGTGGTTCCTCAGATTGATGGAGACTTTTTGAAAATTGTACCAAATAGCACCAAAAAAGTGGTTTTGTATTATTACAAGCTTCTCCAAAAAGCTTCTATATGCAACCATATACACATTCTCCATCAATCTGAAGAACCTTTTCACCATGCAAAGAACCATTTAAGCATGCAAATGATTCTTTTAGTGTTCATGGTTCTATGTAAATTGTTACATAAAGGTTCTGTGCAGGTACATTTTTCATTCATTAAGGTACAAACAATGTAAATGTTCCATCAAAGGTACAGCAGTGATTTTAAGGTCCAATTGTGCACCTTAAATAAGTTTTTCTAGGTGAAAAGTACGTATTTGAACCTTTTCCTAACCTAATTTAAAAGAAAAAGAACAATAAAATAAAGTGCCTGGAGACAAGACGGGGTGTGTGGAGTCAATGCAGCTCAGAAAATATAATTTCAGTGGATTATGCTACAGTTATGTTACCTGACTAAAGGTACTGAGATGTACCCTTGAGGGTTCCACCCCAGTGACAAGAGGTGTCCTGCCCTAGTGTAGAACCGTTTTTTTTTTACTAAACCCTTGAGGCACCAGGCGTAGTTCTATATCTACGCAAATCAATTGCGGCAAAATGTGCGTCGTTTCGCAAAGTGCGTTGCGGTTTTAGTGGCAGCTGCTCATTCATTGCAAAGCCTCGTTCTCACCATTGCAGCTCTGTAGCCTTGCTGGTTTGCCTTTTGCACCCGCGCTGATTTGAGCGCCAGCGCACTTTTTGGCGCACACGAGCCGGGCAGCAGCCCTCTTTCTCTTTCACACACACACACACTCACACACACACCAAGCCTCCCGCGCTCGGGCCCTTCTGTTCAGCGCTGATAAGGCATCCAGCAGCGGGGCTGAAGCCGCAGACTGACACCAAGACCGCACGCGACACGATAAAGGAGTTTACATCTAGACTAGAAAAGCGCGCTAATCTTCCTGGAGGAATACGAATAATCGCAAGTTAAGCTCCCCAAAGGGAAAAAAAACACACACAAGAGCACTTGTCTCCTCCCGCATCGCCATCACAATAAGCGATTTCAGTGCACATGCAAGACTTTTAAGCGTTTCACGCGCTTTTATACTGAAGAGGCTGTCGTTACAATCACTCATAGGCCTGCATTAATAGCGTCAATGCTACAACAGCTTTGATCATTTAAGCACTTTTCTGTTAATAATCAAGATCTAAGGTTCCCCACAATAAGAAAGCACGTGCATGTAGCCTATTGGTATGTAAATGTTGACGAGAAGAAGTAACAGATGCATTTAGATGAGATGCACTTAGGAAATCACGCTGTTGTCGGATAAAAAACACGTATCTCCATTTTTGACGTTTTTCAGTTTTTGACATAATTTGAAAATACCTACTGTCCTTTATATTGAATTGCAAGATGAATGGACCAAAATAAATGGACCAAAACGACTTGGAAAAAAGTCTCCATTGACTTACATTAAAAGTGAAGTACGTTTTTTCCTTCTCCTGTAAACTTACCATTATGGAGATACGAGGTTTTGTTCCGACAGAATCGAATCGATCAAACTATGGCTAATATCTAATAAAATGATAATTAAATGTCAGCTCAGTCTTTGTCACGTGGGATTAAAATGTATAGAAAATACGCACTTGATTGTGAAGATTACATGCAATCCAGATGCTGTTAGATGTTGACCAATCAGAACAAGTTTGCACTTCCCCTTTTTTCATGTTAAGTGTAGTCACTGGTCATGAACGGGTTAACTGATCTTCAGATCGTCCCAATAACAAAACTGAATGTTTGTTTGTTTGTTTGTTTGTTTTTTTTACCTGCACACGTGACTCGACCAGGTCCAGGCGCAGCGCCAGCGCCTCGCGCATGAACACGTCCGGGTAGTGGCTCTCGCTGAACGCCTTCTCTAGCTCCTCCAGCTGCCAGCCCGTGAAGTTCGTGCGCGTTCGCCTCCGTTTACAGCCTGGACTCTCCTTGTCCGGGTCGCCGGCGTCTAACGAGCGCAGGGAAACAGCAAGTGAGCCAACGTCACTTCAGATTTCCTACCGCACGAGCTAAAGGGGCCGGACGTTTAAGTCGGTCAGCTTCAACATGGGTTTTGATAACCCAGCAGTGATTTAATGTAATGAATGAAATGTAAACCATAGATGTGTTATATATAACCAGTGTATTTGTTGGTGTGTATATATATATATATATATATATATATATATATATATATATATATATATATATATATATATATATAAACACTTCACTATGTTATGCATGTATATATGTTGATTTCAGTGGTAGCATCAATGGGAATAAAATCACTGGCGAAATTCCAACTAAAATGATTCATTTTATTTTATTATAGTTCATAATAATCCAGTATTCCTTCAAGGCTTTTTAGGCCAGTGGAGCCTGAAAGATGCTGTTGTTTTACCCATGCAACATTTATTAAATTATAACCTTGCACTCAAATTACTTGTATAAAAATATATAATTTGTTAAAAACGTTAATTTCTTAAAAAAAAAAAACTTTCAAATTAAAAACTTAAAAATTTAATTTCCTGTTATTTTGTCGCTATTTAAAAAAAAACACTTCAATCTGAAACACAACACTGCAGTTTCTTGCACATGAATTAAACCTGGTCTTGGACTAAATGGGTGTTTCTCCATGTTAAATTGTATTTAGTCTTGGTTCAGGCTTAATCTGTGTGTTGGAAACCAGCCACGTACGGTTAAACTACCCACTGACCAATCTTAGATTCTTATCTTTAAAACGTCGAGTGGATTCAGGTGTTATTGGGAATTGTTTGGTATCTGTATGTTGTGTATTATTATATTCGCCACTAAATATGATTGTTGTCTATTTACAGCATTTGTTTTTGTTTATTTAGAAAGAATAAACTGAGGAGCATCATCTGAAACTACAAAAAATAAAAAGCAGAATCGTGGAACAGATTCTTAAAAGGTCTTAAATGAGCTGAACCAGCCTGAATATTACAGCATATATGACAGAAAGTATGTACAAATATCTATTACAGTCATTCTCTACGAGTTTTTATACAAACTCGTACAAAACTAAAGTCAGCTGGTTTGTGTTCGCTCACCGGACAGTTTGTACTGCTGGCCGTCCCCGCTGACCCCGCAGGCGGACGCAAGCAGCGGCCCGGAGCCCACCGAGCACGAGCCGTTGAGTAATCCGTCTATGGAGAAGGGCACGGCGGCTGCGGCGGCGGCGGCCGCGGCCGCGGCGGAGGGCAGCGCGTGGCCAGGCAGCTCGTACACGTGGCGGTGTCCGAGGTGGTGGTGGTGGTGATGGTGGTGGTGGTAGGGGAAGCCCAGGCCGACCACGCCGCCGCCCAGCGAGCCTCCGAACGCGGCGTGCGGCGGGTGCTCGAGCGCCCTGCTGTCCATCATTCTCGCGCACCCACCTCCGCCAACCCTAGCAGCCCTCCGAACCCTCCAAACCCTCCGTGGAAAGCGCACGCGGCAGCGGCGGCGGCGGCGGGGAACGAGGGAACGTGCGCATGCTCTGCGCTCTCGAGCGAGGAATGAAGAGGAGCGCGCTTTCCGCGCGTGAGAGTGTGTGTGCCTGTTTTTTTTTCCCCTCTCCTCTGTTTTTTTTCTCCTCCCCTCTACTTTGTCAACACCGACCTCCGCTCCGGCGGGGAATTGAGGACCCAATCGGGAACGCTAATGGGCGGTGACGTCAGAGACGCGGGGTTAAAATCCGCTTTTTTTCGTACCGATCGCTAATTACGCGTGACGTCCATCCCGGTAAACAACGGCGCCGCTGTCACAACACCGCACGGGATGGCTCGGGGTGGGAGGTGGAGGAGGTTGGGGAAGGGGCGTGGCGAGGTGGGCCATTGATTGATTCCTATTTAAATTTTAAAAAGATTTTTTTTTTCTAGATTTATTTCTAATCCCAGCATTTCATTCGCCTGTGGAAAAGAAACAACAGTTTTTTTTTTGTTTTGTTGTTTTTTTTTTTTTGATGGGGGGCTCGTTTAACTGGAGGTCTTTAGAGTGTTCTCCAATTACAGGGAGGCGTCCTGCTCCATAACAGACTCTCTCCATCATAACACTCCGCTGTAGCTGTCAGAACCAATTTGCAGTTACACGGCTTTCGCCAACAGCAGCCCGCACCTTCGGAGGGTTTTAACGGTTATTTATTTATTTATCTATTTATTTATTTACGGTTTTAAACGGTCATTTCTTCCAGTAAGTGTGAAGACATCAGGTGGGAGTGCTAAAACGTTTAGGAGCTTATAAAACATCAAACAAAATGAATATAAATCATACAGCTCACCTTTTCTTGGCTCAAACCAAATTGGCCTATGAATTGAAAAGCCTAATTAATTGAAAACAGTGATATATATATATATATATATATATATATATATATATATATATATATATATAGAGAGAGAGAGAGAGAGAGAGAGAGAGAGAGAGAGAGAGAATATATATAGACAAAATCTAAAACTGAGCGTGAATAGGCTAAATACACATTTTCTAAACCGTGTATCCTTCTGTGTGTATCTTTGATATATACACAATTGGAAAAGGACTGCACACTCGAACTTGAATTTATTTACAACAGCATGTGCTTCACCATAACGGTCTCCTCAGTAACTTGCCAAGCAACCGAGACCCCCACCCTTCTCCACGCCCCTTGATTGGATTTGTGGGGTTAGACTGCTGAACCGGCTGTGAGAATGCAGAATAGCTGTAATCTGTAGGTCTACACGTTTTGTACTATTTGTACAATTTGTCAGGCGTACACGAGCAAGTTAGGCTGCAAAATGGATATTATTATTATTATTATTATTATTATTATTATTATTATTATTACTATATTTTTACTGTACTTTTTTTTTTACTCATTTTAATGGTTTAACTTCTACTACTACTACTACTAATAATAAATTATTATTATTACTATTATTATTATTATTATTATTATTATTATTATTAGCGATGATAATAAGAGCTGTGTTTGTAAGGTGTCTAGAGAGTCATTCTGGCAGTATAATGGTCTCAGGTTGTGGGCTGATTCCTGATTCCTCTCTCTAAGTGGGCTACTGGCCTAAATGTAAAGGGTGTCCAGCGGGCGATAACAGCCTCATTTCGCATTATGAGAGAGAGAGAGAGAGAGAGAGAGAGAGAGAGGCTGCCATGTTCCTGAATACAGAATGGTAATCAATCCTCGGCGCGTATAAAGTGCAGGCTTTCCCTCCCTCCTCCTCCTCCTCCTCCTCCTCCTCCTCCTCCTCCATTACCGGGAATTAATTCGACTTTATTTATCCAATTTCTCCAGCTGCCAGAATGTTAATTCGAGTTGAAATTTGCTCCCCGCTCGCCTCGGCCGCTCGCGCTGACCCCTCGGCGCCACCCGGCCCGGCGTGTTGTAATAACCCCGCAGCTTTTCCGGCAGAAAGGCGCGATAATTGTTACCTTATTAGCATGCAAATGGTTTAATTAATATTATTATGAAGAAGCGTATAATCCGTCCGTCACTTGACCCCCGCGGTCTCTCTCTCTCTCTCTCTCTCTCTCTCTCTCTCTCTCTCTCCCTCCCTCTCTCTCTCTCTCGCATTTCAATGCCTTCATTTTCCAATCGCGAAAAAGAGAGACCCCCCTCCTCTCGTTTTCAAAGCGCGCGACATAGAAAGCCTCCTCGTCGAGCGCTGAGAGCTCGTTTGATGCCGGCCGCTTTGTACGCCCCCCGCCGCCGCCCGCCCCCCTCCTTCCATCTAGCACACTTTAAACCCCAAAACATTTCATCACTCTCTGCATGCGCGAATTATGCAAATGGTTTTATTCTTTTTATTATTTTTTTAGCCTCTCTTCAGCATCAAAATCCAATAATTGCCTCCTTGTCGTTTGCTTTATTTTTTATTTCTTTATTTTTTTGCCTTTAACATTAGAAAGACTCTGTCTAACGCCTCAATCACCGCTTCGGAACGCTCGTGCATGGCAGGACGCAGCGCGCGCCTCTTCCCAGGAAGGCGGCTCCTGACCACGCGGCCCGTGCGAGGCCTTCCTGAGCCTCTTCATCCACAGGGGAGCTTTAAAAAGAGCTTTAAAAGTCAACCTGGAATCAGACTGGACTTACTTTGTGTTCCTGGTCATATTCATCAGAAGATAGAAAGACAGAAAACTGTCTGCGAAATGTTATAACTTTTGCACGTGCTATGAGTTTTGATGACGTCACGGTGCACCAGCAGGCAGGAAAAATAATCAACCTTATCAAAACAATATCAACCTTCAGTGCTTTTTATGTTTTGAAAAGGCAGAAAAACTCAAAACACAGTTACTCTTCACATTTTTGAGAAGGTACTTATTAAATTACTAAATTCCAAAAATATACATAAAAAATAGACATGTTTATAGACAAAAAATTAACCATCAATGCATAATGACTTCCACTGACTTGAATTTGATGAGTGCGCAGGCACAGAGCTCAAGTCTATCATTTTGATTTTTCAACAGTCGTAAACTGAAACAATGGTGTCAGAAGTGGGAAACATCGAACAAAGTCATATTTACAAGTGGTAAATGAGATTCTCATGATAAACAAGTTTTCCAAGTACGCACATGCATGCAACTCAGTGTGCCTTTGTCATTCTTATTAGATGCAAAGAGCTATACTAACCTGACTTGGACTCACTCACTCGCTCATGTCTAGCAGGCTGAAGATTGTCCACAGTCCAGGGGGCACTGTTAACACTCAGGTAGCTTTTGGTGCTTCATAAGTGCACTCTCAGAAAAAAGGTACTAAACTCTCACTAGGTTGTACCCTCAAGGTTACATCTTCATTTAGTTAGGGAACATAATTGTACCCTATTCCAAGATGTATTGACTCCACGCACCCTGTTTTTTCTCTAGCTTCTTTTTTTTCTGTTCTGATTTAAAGCATTAGGTTATAAAAAGGTACAAATATGTACTTTTCCTCTGGGAAAAAGTTATTTAAGGTGCACTGTTGGGCCTTAAAACATTGTTGTACCTTTGAGGGAACATTTGCATGTTGCATGTTTGTCCATTAATGAAAGAAAATGTGCCTACACCGAATCCTTTTTTGACAGTGTTGTTCTTGACATTAGTGACACTGTGTGTCCTTGTTATTTAAACAGTGGTGTGCTTCACTGGTGCCTTTGCGCTGGTAAAAACAGTGAACATGGCAGTGAATGTGAAAAAGTATACTTGATGTGCTTCTCTGTGATCTATATGGGGTTTTTTAAACCTTAAAGTGTCATAACTTATGTTTTTTATATTCAACATACCAAATTGTAGGCTAGCTGGTGTCATGCTCACTTGACGATGTTACATTTTCTTATGAAAAACAATGGCAGTCTCTCAGATTGACCCCTAGTGCCATATGTAGCAAGGTACTTGTGAATTCAGCCATATTCCACAAAAACAGATGGTTCTACAAGGGTTCTTTAGTAAAGACATGGTTCTATATAGATCCATTAACACGCAAATAACCTTTTGCATGCTTAAAAGGTTCTTTGCATGGTGAAGTGGTTCTTCAGATTAATGGAGAATGTGCTGTATATGGTTCTTTAAGCCACAAAGGCTACAATGTCAAGCTTGTAACAATAGAATAACTCTTTTTGGTGCTATATAGAACCATTTGCGAAAAATCCATAAAAATGAATAACATCTCACAACGTACCTCATAATGTAGTGGACGATCTAATGTATCCCATAATGTACTGCAAATCAAACCCGTCCATCAGTCCACACTTGTAGTCCAGCTCAAGTGCGCAATGATTGCATGTGATATTAATGTTCTCTCCAGTATTTCTTAGAATTTCACCAATGTGTTGAACTGTGGGATATTAGCCCATTATAGCTTTGGCTCTGTAGTCAGGAAAGGGTTTATTATTGTGGTCTTGGCACATTGTGCTTTTCTTGCGTACCCATGTTTTAGAAATGGGATATACTTGAAAGCTTGAAAGCACATGATTGCACACATAAGCATGCATATTTATGTAGTGCTACTACATAAACATTTTTAACTCACGGTTCCTGTCAAAGTTCTACGTTACTCAATTTGCCACCCTTGAGGTAGTTTTCCAGAAGGGCTTCATTCTACCAATTTTGGTGAAACTATGGCCTTTATCATCAGGTCACTAACTTTTGTTCAGTAGATAGTAGTTCACGTTTGGCACTGTGTCCATTTGAAATACCACCTAAAAGTGAAAGATCAAACAGGCTAAGCTTTAAAGTAAAAAGGCAGGCACTACTAACTAAATGTGAGCTAGAGGTCTAACAACATCATTGCAATTGTAAAACACCTTCCAGCCACAAGAGCTTATGCCTCATAGAGGCTCAGAGCAAAACTCCCTAGTGTTGAATTAACACTTACACTGTTCATTTGTGTCCAGCTGGATGTAAATGAGCGCTGTCAGTGTTAATTCAACACTATAGGCGTT